CCGAGTGGCCTCCTGCAACTCCAGAAAGGTCTCGCACCTCTGCATAGACACAAACTGCCTGATATCCCTCTTGAGCATACTCAGATATCAGGACATATGAGCCTGCTCTGAAGAAAACTCCGGGCAAAACATCGCCCTCTCAGTGAACATCCTGGTGATCTCCATCACCGACTCGGAATCCTGCTTCAGCTTCAGGAACTCCTGAGCTAATCTCTCCCTCTCAACTTGCGAAACAAAGCGAGTACTGAACATCTCTCTGAACTGATCCCAAGAAACCGCAGCTTGCTGCGCATCAGAATACGATCCCGTGGTCAACCTCCACCAATCCTTCGCCCTGAGCCTCAAAAGGTTCAGGCACACCTTACCCTCTGATCAGCAGGGCATGAACACATGAAGAAACACCCCTCCACGTCTGATAACCATCTCATAGAAATAATCGGGTCCTGAACTCCATCGAAGGCAGGAGGCTTCGTATTATCAAAGTCCCGATACTGAAAACCTCTACCGGCTCCTCCCCCTGCCGCTGCTACAGCTGATGTAGCTGCGACAACAGTCGTCTCTATAAGAGCTGCATAACGCTCATCAAAATACTCGACCATGGCGGTCTTGATCGACCCAAATACTTCTGGCAACTCGGCCCGGAACATTGCAGCAACCTCATCATGCAGGATCTCACGAATCCTAGCATCCAACTCGTCGGTGCTCATCTGACTGATAACCTCGGGTGGTGCTAATCCACCCTGACCGCCTCTTCTTGTTCCTGATCCCGACCCGGATCCGCTCCCAGCATGCCTCGTAACCACCATACTGAAAAACACCGCAAACATCAGATACCTCCCATTAACCCGGGAACCGACTCTCAACCCAACCCTAAGGGTTGTGACTTCCTTGATACGCGTATGGGTCATGTGCTTTCAGTATTACGGGCCCATACTACCTTCCACACCTACCTATATTTATATCAAGTATCACCACAACACCCTAGCGAAGAACATGCATAATAAGCACTCAACCCTCACTCCTAGAGGAACAATGGAAATCTCATATGGAAAGAAACCCTAGGCTAGCGGGCATCATAAATCAGGCAACTCTATCATGCAATTCCTGAAGATCCCTAGCCTAGTACTAGCATGTTGTTCTATCATATCACATAAACAAATAACTTGCATGGTATTTTGGAGCAACTTACTGGCTCCGGCTGATCGTACCTCCGCGTCCTCCTTTACTCATTTTGAAAACCATTTTAAATTCTCATTTTGAAAACTCTCCTTGATTTGAGACTGGATTCACACGAATGTTCCTCCAATTCACTCAAACCAAGGCTCTGATACCAACTTCTAACGTCCATAAAAATTCCAACCAATTTAAACTTTTCTAAAACAACCCAGTTTCGTTAAGTTATTACAAAAAGGTTTTCAATACAATTATTATCAAAGTCTTCCCAGAACCATATCATAAAACATAAACATGAGGAGTGGTACGATCACGCCTTTGCCTTGCCACGGTCTCTTGAAGTACCTGAAACATTTAAACCACAACTGTAAGCCCGAAAGCTTAGTGAGATACCCCCAAAATACCAACCACATATACCATACACATAACATGCCATATCATAACAAAACATAGAACAGCCATGCACTTCGGGTCTACTGTGTGACTGGTCCGCCACATCGGGCCTTCAGTCCACCTAGTCCACCCTCCGAGTGTAGCCATATCCATCGAGTCTGCAGTGTTGTTGGTCCGCTTGGACCGGGCCTTCAACCCACCTGGTCCACTCTCTGAGTCTACAGTATGACTGGTCCACCCGCACCGGGCCTTCAGTCGTCTTGGTCCACTCTCCGAGCTTCGGCACGTCTGGTCCGCCCTCGTGGGGCCTACAACCTATCTGGACCGCTCGCTGGGCCTTCGGGATAACCGGTCCGCCCTGGGTATGTTGGCCTACAGCACAAAGCAGGACTCGCCTCAACCCAACCCCTATCCAACAACCATGTGCACATAAACATAAAATCATATAACAATTCACATCCAAACAAACTGATCGAGCAGATCACATAACATAACAACATCCTAACCAGGATACCGACCTAACCGGGTCTTTAACATATACCACCCTAACTACCAGGATGCAAACATAGCAAAGCAATAACATAACAACGATACCCGGATTACAATCCGATAAATGGCCGGCCTTGGTGCCTTAGACCCTGTCGATATAGTGAGGATAACTCACCTCGCAACTGCCGAAACTGTGAACTGAAAAAGCAGATTCCCGAATCACCGACTCACCGAAAATCCCGAACTAGCCAACATAGCAGAAATAACCATTAGATCAATCACAATATCCTTCCAAGGGTAAATTGACCAATTTACCCTTAACTCAATCTGGTCCAAGACTAAGACCCATAAATGGCCCAATTTGCTACATTAGGCCCATTCTCCTAATTGGGCCTTACCCTAAGCCCAACACCCATACTTGGACCATCTTCCCTGACTCCTGATGGCCCACTTAGGCCTAAATACCTAAAGTCTAAGGCACAACCCACACCGAGGCCCAATTACTCAAGTCCCAACTGGCAGCGTTACGTGGGGCGTAACTCAACGTACGCTTAGTGTACCAGCTCCATGACGAGTACGCTCGGCGTACCTGCACGTACACTCAGCGTAGTGCTCTATTAAGTCATTTCCTTATTAAGTGCTTATTACTCCATTCCAAGGGCTACAAACTCAGATCCAGGTCTTATTTCACGACTTAAACCATTAAGTCACTGACTTGGTGACTTAATATGGTTCAAACCAACTCAAACTTCCAAAATGATCTTCTACATCCAATATGAGGACTAGATCTCATGCATGGGCTTAATAGAACCCCAAAGGTTGGAACTTTACTGCTTATGGACTCATATGACTCTAAGGGAGGGAACCCCAGTCTTAGAAACGAGCTTAACCCACCAAGACCCAAACTTGGGACCAAAAAGGTCCATAAACTTGTACTAGAGGAGATCTAAGAGGTTAATCATCAAGCTCAAGACTTTTTACCTTGCAGAGATCCTTAGGGTTTTGAGACTCTGAGCGTACGCTGGGTGTACGCCTTGAACACCCGCGACCAACTTGCCCCATTACGCTGGGCGTAACTCAGCTTAAGTTAGGCGTACCCACGCATGTCCCAACATGGATGCATGGTCTTTTTCATCATGTTTTCTATTATGGGCCATAAATGTCAATATCTTTAAAGCATCATAACTCCTTCATTCTAGATCCGATTCTATTGAACTTTATATCCACGGAAAGGTGGCGAGAAGGTCTTCGCTTCTAGCAGCACACCCCGATCTGAAACTTTCCCGAATAATAACCCATCGCTCATGAAAGACCGAAATGCCCTTACTCTTGATCTCGGGAACCCATCAATAGATATTTTAAGAACGGGGTGTTACAATCAACAATATTGTACTGAGTAGTAATAAACATTATTTCATTTATTGGAAAATCAAGTTGATTAATTTCTGTGTTTTCAATAGCATAACTCATCCTCGTCTTCTTTTCAAAATCATAGATTTTGTTATAAGCGTCCCTTGCTTCGATGTTTTCATAATTATGCAGTTTCCTTGGATCTCCTTTATTCAGATACGGTGGATCATCTTGATGAAGCATCGATATACTTTGTATTTGACGTTTCTTCTCCATTTCCACCTCTATCTCTGCCTTTCTTTCTTCCTTTGACTTTTCAACTAACACCTTTTTCCCCTATCTTGATTTGTTGTTGCTTTTTTAGGTATTGAAGAACTTCCTTCAGCAGTTGTTCCAATTACAATGCCTTTAGAAATTGGCCTTGTATTTGTAACAGTAGAAACCACATGATCAACTTTCGATATTATTGGTTTTGATGTAGGAATATTCATTGCAAACACTTTACCAACAACTTTTGCTTCAACTTCAGTTTTCCCAAAAGCACCTTCATCTTTACCAACATGCCTTCTCTCTCCCCCTTGCACCCCTATGACAATAGGCAGGGCATTCGTTGGTAGAAAACTGACAAGTTGTGACAATGGGGCTAACTCCTTTTGAATAACAGTTTCAAACAGACGAAACTTCTGAGATAAGAACTCAGGAGTTATCAGGGAAGATGACCCAAACTTCGAAACAAGCTCTTTTAATTCGTTTAACAACTTTTTGATTTTCAAAAAACAATGAACTTCATCCTTAAACATTTGCTCAACCTTCGGACCAAGAACTTTGTACAGTTTGACAAATTTAGTAACTGCATCAGCAATTATCTCAATCTTTTGATTTAGTGAAGCATAGTCTTGTTGAATGATAGCTATTTCCTTTCCCATATCTTCCTAAAGTTCTTGAATTTTTAAATTTACATCTTCCCTAACCTTCTTGACATCTTGAATAAACAATATGTGACGTTCCTTTGTTACATCCTTCAAGTCTTTTAAATCTGAAGCAAACGTGGATAACTGATTTTTCACCCTTTTCTCATTATTTCTATCAACATCTTCAATGGCATCATAAAGATGACTTTCGTGACGTTTGAGCATGAGATCAAATTTCAAACTCGATACTGAATTTTTTCCTCCTCCATTAGCTTGAATTTGTAACAGAGAATTAAGCTTTTGATTCAAGATTTTGAACTGTTTGCATGTAAGAATCATATTATTTGGAATTTCCTCCTCTTCTTGATCAAACTGAATATATTCAAAAGTTCAACTGAATATATTCTCATCATTATCAGATGGAGTTGGATTTTCTTCATGAGTAATAGGTAGTTCAGTAGATTGTGAAGAGAATAAGGAAGTAATAGGTTGATTAAGAATATTATCGAAAGTATGTGAGTTGGTATCAACAGAAGTAGAAACAAATGGAGGTAATTTGGTGGAAGTGTCAATTGTTGAAGTTTCGAAGGTAGAAGAAACTATAATTGGTGTACCTTGATTGTGTGAAGTTTCGACAATAGACAACAAAGGTAGAGAAACAATAATGGGTTCAGGTTGAGACACTTACGAAGAAACAACAAGTGTTTCGACAATTGATTTTTCTGGAGAGTTTGGCACTAGAGGATCACAAACAACTTCCTCTTCAGTAGACTCATCATTAAGTACCAATTTTCGAAGTCTCTTTTTCTGTTTCTTTGAAATATGTTTTACCATATCTTCTACCTTTTGTTTCTTTGCGGATAGAGAAACTAGGATAGGAACTTCACGAAGAACATCACCTTTGTGCATAACATGTGGATTTCGTATCATAGATGGGGAAAAGCTACGAGATATTTCAGAAGAACTTCTTGACTTGTGAGCTATCTTTTTGATCCGCTTGAACACCCCTGTTTTCGAATGAACAACTTCCTTTGTAGGCTCGACAGAGTCTGGTGCAATTTGCATTTCCACAGGCTTTGAAACACCAACTTATTCATTTTGTTTCTTCTTTGGAGACATAGAGCTTTTCTTCTCTTGAACTAGTTTTGAAGGACTCACTTCAACCTTCTTAGACCTTCGAGATCATTTAGAAGAACCATCATCATATCGTGATAATAGAACACCAGTATCAATTGATGGATTGATGGTCTGCAAGTAAGCCTTTAACACGAAATTTGAAGGATCCACCTTTTTTAGCATTCCACCAGGAATCCTTGCAACATTAGGAAACTCCTCTTCATCATCTTCAATTGTTTTTAGAAAATTATACTTCAGAAACTCTGCTTTTGCCTCATTATTAGGTACCAAAATCCCTTCCTTCTCATATGCAAAACGAAGAATCAGACTCCAATATCATGCACAAGAAATCCCATCAACAAAATTAGTGCTTTCAACACTCTTCGAAAATTCCTTCCATATATGTGTAGCATAATCAACTACAAGATCATAGTATATCCCAGCTACCATAGCATAGACCTCCAATTTTCCTTTATCAAGACCAACACTTCGACCTGTGAGACATCTAAGATAAATGCCAAACAAGAAGCTCCAAATACATGGGAGACTTGATTTCTTGAAGTCACTTATCTTGGTGAGAGTAGGTTGATAACCCATCTCATTGAACATATGCAGAACTTGATCATTTGTAACCTTGTAGAAAGGTGGAGAATTAGGTATTTCCAGAATTTGTCAGAACAGTTTCTTAGACAGACGAAACTTCTTTTCATTCACCAGGTTGAAGGTAATAATATCCAATGTTTTGCTATAGGAGGCAGTAGAACCTCCAAGTGATAACTAAGTCATTGGAACTGCAAAGGAGCTGAACATTGCAGTTTTCAGAACAGAATGTTGTAAAACCACAATCAACATATTTAATTCTTCTGGATAAATTGAGACATCACTATCAACTTGAAATGTTTTGGTGAACTATCCTATTTTTATTTGTATTATAAATAAAGAAAATAAGAATTAAATACAAAAAATAGATATTGTATACATTTTAACTTTATTTATATTTTACCAATAGATAATATAATATAGAAAGTAACAATAAACATAAATTATATAATGGGCTAATCGCTATAAACAATAAATATAGTTGTTGCATTCTTATATTTAATATAATAAAAGTTGTTGGGAATAAAACCGAGATGACGAATGCGGAATATCAAGAACAATCAACAATCAATCACCATAATATGCAAGTAATCGGATAAAGGGTTTTGTATATTGATTATCTCATGAACGTACATAGAAAACGCTAATCTGGTAAAAATCTTACACCAAAAGTAAACCTAATGATTATTTATAGCGAACAATAAATATCTACCATAAATATAAAATAAAAGCCTAATATAAAACCAATGCCTTAGAAGAGCTCGATTAAGAACTTCTACTGTAAAAACACTGTAGGGAATCATAAAATGATTAACCCTAAAAAGGCTTCCCTAAATAACCAAATATGTCAAATCAGTTTCAATATCTCAAATACTCAACAATCTCCCCCTAGATGTTGAAACTGATGAATATCATGATTTCCGATCTTCTTGGCATTTCTCCCCCTAAATTGTGAGACTCATCAGTACATGGGATCTTCAAAGCGAGAGAAATAAGAATAATCTTCCAAAAATGAACTCCCCCTTGAATAATCATCACTTACCTTTAAATCTTCAACCAATACCATGGAGAGAATCCGGAAAGTTAAGAAGAATCACTAACAATCTTCAAAACTCGTCAGTTCTGATGAAACAAATTCTTTTGGAATATACCCAATTCATAATAATTAAAACTGGAAAAATAACAAAAAATAATTTTGTATTTTTCGATTTTTAAATATAGACAAAAGAATAGAAACAAAGCAATTATTTAGAAGGGTTTAAAAAGAATAAGATCAAAGAAAAGAATAAGAAATGACAGTATTTTGGTAAGAAGGGGATAAAATGGTAAAAATCCAAGAAATTTGTAAAGAATTTCGGATATGGAGCTGAACTTGTGAAGGTCTGAAAGCTAGGGGGCTAAAGATGAAAATATTTCCCATTTGCTTCATTTTAACGCTGAAAGAAATAACAGCATTAAAAAAATTGAAAATGTAAAGCTTGATAACTTTCGGGGACTGAAGTTGTAACATTGAGTCATCTTCTTCATTCATTCAGGAACAACGTTTCATTGACTTCTAAAAGTCAAAATTCTTAAAACACAATTCCAAGCACATTAAATCGAAATCAGGTACCCATGAAATGCCCATTACCCCATCGATATGTGATTTTACAAGCCAATTTCGACTTCAATTTCGTTTGTAAATCCCGATTACAGATGCCAAAACAAAGAACTCCCGATCGAGCCTAGAACATGAACGCTAATACTTCGATTTCAATTTGTACAACCGATTTCCAAATCCGTGTTCAGTGAGTCAATTCCGAGCATCAAGTTCGTTTCTGATTTAGATTTGAGTTACAAGAGCGAATCCTTCAATGTCGACTGTGAAGCGACTCTTTCATGAACCGAAAGCAAAACTCAGGTTCGCTTCTTCAAATACACTTGCAGGTTCGCTTTACCAATGACACAACCGGTTTTAACATAAGCCAGGTTTCCAAGATCCATAGCACAGCGAACCAGATTTCAATTCCACATTCGTTCACAACCCAATCAACGAGCACTTAGTCCCGTTTTGTCCAAATCGATCAGACACAGTTCCGATTGCAAATCCAATTCCATTTGTTCCAATCGATTGAAGCCCTGATTGCAAGACTCGCTTGATGATCGCAAACAGGCGAACAGGTCTTGTTCCTGTAGATGTAGATGAGAACACGAGCTTTAGCCTTTACGTTTGCTTCTAAAATTGATGATGAACCGAAAGCTAATCAATAACCGAAAGCGAATCGCAGGTTCGCTTCAATTCCAATTGCAGGTTCGTTCCCTTGATTACACAACCGAAAGCGAAATCAACCGAACGTTCGGCTGCGAATAGTAGTTTCGGGTTCGGTTCTTGTGGGTTCGGTTGTTAATCGAGAGTTCGGTTCTTAATCTGAGTTTCGCTTCTTAACTTGAGTTCGGTTCTTATTCGTGAGGTTCGCTTCTGTGAGTTGTAAGGTTCGCGTCTTTGAGTTTCGTCTCTGAACTCCATTGAACGAATTAAGAACTGCGTCACCGATTAGGAGACGAACATCAATTTTTTTTCTCGTTCGATTTGTCGATACCAGTTTGCAAAGAATGTGAATCATATTTCATCATATTTATGGAACTGACCCCTAAAGAATAAGTGAAGAATTAAATGCAACCCAAAACTTTGTCTTTTGAATTAACCTTTTATTTCTTCAAAGTTCCGAACCAGCCTGCTAAAAGTACATATGACAGCTTGCATCCACTGTTCACTACTGCAACATGTCAAAATTTAACCCCCTTTCTACAGAAAATATCCTTTTAAACCCATCTTTGTCAACTTTTTCAACTTTTGTCAATTGCAACACTTAAAAAATCAATAAAAATTGATTCCTTCAACAAAATTTCATATCTTTGAACCGAATCCACTAGATTTCACCAATTTTTGTCCATGTATCGTTTTTTTTTTTTTTTTTTTCTTTAATAAAGGAAAGAACTTTTATGGAACTTTTGGTACCCATTTGAGGTTCAACTTTGAAGTTGGTTTCTTGCATACCCACTTATTTGAAGAAAATCTTTCATCTTCTGAAAATAATACCCTCTTTTTAGTTGGAAAACAAAATTTTCCAAAAACTTACCAACCAAATACTCTTTTCTCTTTTCTCCAACTTTTACTATATTCATCTGAAGAAAAATGTGAATAGAACTTTCTTTGAACATTCTTGACTTCAGCTTTCTGAACTTTTCCACAAGCATTGGTCACTTGTACTTTGGGTATCAAAACTTTCTTCATTTTACTCTTGTTCTTTCTCTTCTTCCTACTTTTCTTATTTCTAGGCTTCAGAAACAAATTTCGGATCTGAACACCTTTTTCTTCTTTTTGAATCTGAACATTTGAAGACTTTGACACACAAACTTTGGGAGTTTGGTAAATCTGAATTTCTTGAAGAATTGGCTTTCTGTAAGGAATCATTCCATCAAAGATATCATCAGAACATAAAGAATCGTCTGTTTGAGTTCCAATAGAACAAAATGTCTTCACTTTCACGATTTCAGATGAATTTCTTTAAGATTCATCTTTTGAAGTACCTGATTCGGAATGTAACTCTTCTGAAAAACATGAATCACTTGAGTCCCCCTCAACAAGAACATTTGGAATCACTTTTTCTTTAGAAACTTGAAGAGTAGCATGAACTTCTTCTTTTCCTTTTTCAACTCTTTTTATCTTCAACATCTGTTTATGTTCCCGATCTAAATGTTCATAGATAACACGAAATTGTTCTACTATTCTCTCCTTCTTTTGCAATTCACGTTCATCAACTCATGAGTAATGATTTATTTTCTTATAAACAAAAGAATTATATAACTCAGTAATATTCCTCAACATAGAATCACCAAGAACATGAAACAAAGGTGATTTGTTTACACCATAGATTGGTTTAGTGACCTTTAATCCAAGTTTTAATATGGAGTTACAGAATAAAAGATCCATTAGATCTTCAACAAATGATAGAACTTGAAGAGAGAGAAAGTAGATCTGATAAGAATTCTAGAAAGAGAAAAACAGATCTGAAAGGGTTTTTAATGAGAGAAAACAGATCTAAGATGGACTTTAGAGAGATAAAGTAGATCTGAACACGAAAATTCAAATAAACACAAAATTTTCTTCTAATTCTCTTCTAGAAAACGATTCAAGAACAAATCAGATGAAATAATGAGTTGAAGAAACCAGATCTGAGCAAGATTTTTCAATAAAAACGAGGTATAAGCTTTTTCTTTTTCAGAAAACTTACAAAACTTGAAGAACAAGGTGAGATTTATGATAAAATATCACCATTAACAAGATCGATCCTTGCAAAAATTGTTGA